CATCTACATGTATGAAAGTTGCTGGGCAATGTATTTATAATGGTACATACGAGTGAGGCAACCCTTTGGGATCTACAAATTTTTGAAGCGGCCGTTTACAACGAAGAGTACCAAATTTGGAAATCGATAAAACTTGTGTCTTCTTAATCTCTTGGACACATTGATATTATCGCCATAAGCGCATCGGCCGCAGCTATAATTTTGAATATCGGGTCTAAATGTAATGGGGAGCATCATTCAACAAAACCACAATCCTTTTATTTACTACAATTTGACATGTATATGCGCTTGAAAAATGTGCATCAGGCAATTTATGAAACAAAAAACTAGACGTGTCGTCGAATTTATCCCAAGGCAAGCCTTCGTTACATCCAAAAAAACCAAGCTGGAAGATGGGAAAAAAAAAATCCCTCTCGGTTACATAATGAATTATATATGCTCTTCCGACGACTACACCTATCGAAACCACACTCGAGAGAGCAAGAAAGTCCTAAATCAACGCATCGCCGAAAATTCCACTGCCACGATCGTTTCCATACAGCGACCGAATGGGAGGGGAAAAAAAGCCGATACCCCTTGAAAACACAACTCCGTGACTCCAGCCGCCACGACCGAGAAAGGGACGTTGTTCTTGCAGCTCCGGCTCTCTTCGGGCTGAACTTGAAACGGCCCTCGATCATCCACGCCAGTTTTTCTCACCCCCCCCCCCTTAAACCCTGCATGCACGCGCTCTCTCCCTCTCTTTCGATTTCACACGAGCCGACGGGCTCTTTATACTTTTTCCGAGTGGACGCGCGTGTCTTATTTCGAAGCTGTAGATTCACCAAAATAATCCTTTCGTTACGCCGGCTGGTATGAGAATGCGGGACTCGCCACCTAAAAGGACAGAGAGAAATAAGTCAACGTATGTGTATGTAATCCTGGATGAGCCCCCCCTTTTTTTGAGTTTAAATTTTACCTATCTAATCCTTGTTTTTCACCGTAAATAAAAAAAAAAAAAAAACCCTACACGTGAGGCAATACCACATGTTAACAGTATACTCTGATGTTAAATCTCTCCTCTCGTCCACTTTTCCTCTGTCTCTCGTCGTACCCAACCATCGGATCTTCAGCCCTTGACTATATACCCGCGTAGTGGCAAAAAGAGCAGTCGCGTATCGCGTACGAGCGCAAGTTCAGCTGAACCCCATCGGAGGCCAAAAGGCTTCCTCGGGCCCTCGACCCACTCCTTCCACATATATATACGTCCTGCGATGCGTATACGGGTTACATATACATACAGAGCCTGATGCGGGAGCATATCGCAGGACAGAGAGAGAGAGAGAGAACTCCCATGGCGTGGGAGATGAAAAGAAGGGGAGTTGGGATGCTGGGCGACCAAAGTGTCGTGAGTGGCGGGGGGTGGGCTTTTTATCTTGCCTGCTCCATTTTCCGTTTCATCCGGCTGGTGCTCCGTGGCCCAATTTCTGGCCTCCCGTTTTGTCCAGCGCCTCGGCGCCAGTCGAGTCATCATCCGACAGTCGTGTTGATATAATTATATATATATATACCTATATGCCTTGTGCGTAAAAACTATTTTTCTCCCCCATTTTTTTTTTTTTTTTTTTTTCGATCGTGTATGTGAGGTACGTATATATACCGCGTGTATGTATATGTTTGTGTACCAAAAGAGACGGAGGATGAGTGCAGTGGCTGACTTCTCGTATTTGGCCAAGGGGGGAAGGAGGATGGATCTTATTTTCATGCGGTGCGCGACCCCTTCTTTATCCATCGTAAATTTCTCTTTCTCTCTCTGTCTATGTGGGTGTTTGCGCTTTTGCAGGGATAGATGAAAGTATGTTTACCCATCGAGAAAGCACAGCTGCGTAATAATTTTACTTTTTTTTTTTTTTTTCATAGCTCTTCTCTTTTTTTTTAAGGAGATTTAGTTATAGTTGACACCGTCTAACCAACGATTTTGATATTTAGTCCAATCTCTCTCTTGTCTATTTTTAATCGCTTATTTTTCCCATCTCATCCTTCGCAGCAGCTCCTAATAGCTGCACGTCTGTAGATGCATATATATATATATATATATACACTCCTGGGCAAAGTATAAATAAAAGAGCGCGCGGCGAGTTTTCGTAGCGCGGATGATCCGGAGTCAGGGAAATTCATCGATTCTATACCTCTTGAATCTCAACTTCTCACCACATGGTTTTACTTGACTGCTCTTGGTCCTCTGCACGGTGGTGTGTCCTGAAAAACTGTGCTACGAGATTATAAGCACGTGAATGCAAAGACAAAAGTACTTTATTGAAAATTTTAACAAACAAACTCTGCGGTTGAGCCAAAATACACACAAATAGTCAATTGAAAATATCTTGAGAAGCACTCGTGAGATAGAAATTCGGTAAGAAGCTCTTTTGTGAGATTATTCTGCAAACCAGAGATTTTTTTTTTTTTCACAAATAAATAGGTACAAGGGGGGGGGGGAAAGGAAGATGCTCTCCCGACTATCTACGACAGCTCGAAAAACTTGTACCGTAGGTAGTTACCGGGCACTCGGTTTTCTTTAGCTCGGCGAGCCGGAAAAATCATCATCATGATCATCGCGCGATACGCTCATATAACTGATGGTTGTGCGCAGTAGGTTCAAGCCGAGCGGGTCTCTATACATGGAATCTCGCGAGTGACGTCGAGAGAGCTCGCCCCTTTGTTCGGGCTCCTGCCGTCAATACCCGTACCTTTGCATTGTCTGGCCGTATATTGTTGCACACATATATATGTATATTACGTATGCTGCAGCACCAAAGGGCCTCGAGTTCAAAAGTGGGCCGGCTGCGCTTACCTGTGCCCGTTGCACGGCCGACCCAGAGGCTTACGAAAAGCACGACGCTCTTTTTGTCTCGTCTCGTTCGCGCGTCACGCGTTTTTCGCGCTTCGCTGGCTCCTCTGTACCTTATACACCTCACTAAAACTCAAGTTGATGACTATATATACGCGTAGGTGTGCTAACTGGTGCACAAAGAATCAGAACGAAGAGGCGCAGCGCTTGTTTTTCCTAAGCACCCAACTCGGAAGCACGGAGCCCTTGTCTTTTGAAAAAAAAAAAAACTAGTGTGTTTTGGACGACAAATCGGGGCGAGAGTGCAAAACGGGAGCAGAGGTGGAAGCTCCCTCTTGGCAAGGGAACCTCGGGGATAAACATTTCGAAAGCCCCCGCGTCAACTAGAGCGTCCGTCGGCGTGTTTTTTTTTTTGTTTTTGTGTATGCGAGAGGAAAGTAAAGTTTTTTGGGTAGTACATAACATACGTTTCACGGATGATATACTTTATGGAATTTCCTGTCGATAAAAATGAGATGAATTTCACTGCGGATATACCCGTAGACGCGTTGTGGGACGAAAAAAAAGCTCAACGACGCGACTGTTACTCGCAGTAGTGAAGTAGAAAAAAAAAAAACACGCGAGCTTGCGCTGATTCAATACGCGGTAAAATTAATCGAGCCGTACGGGGCAACGGAAGGATTTGCGGTTGTAATCCCGTAGAGGTCAAAGGCGCGCCTGTTTACTCAATGTCTCGCGATACACGCGCACACCTCCGTGTGAGGGAAAAGAAAAAAAAAAAAAATCGAGAGCGACTGTGGCTACTAATGTACTTACTGTACCTACAGTCCACTCGGTTGCGGTACGGGTGTTATATATTGGGGGCTTATTGGAGCGAATCACATTTTGGCGCGTACTTCATTTAGAAGTTGGGAAAAATATGTTTGTTGGGACCAAAAAAATTGTTCCCATCGTCTTGCTACTTGCCAGAAATTCTCGTACCTACAAAGTTGAAAAAAAAAAATCATCCGTTTTCCAAAAATTGATTATACCAGCTATGCAGATACACGCGGTGTCAGTTGACAAAATTTAGCACATAAAAAAACGATATCTCGGTTAACCCGTAATGCGTATGATATACATATAAATCAAATATTCATTGGAGCAAACGCGTAAAACTTTGGCGAAGGAAGTTAATTTTGAGCTTGAAATGCCAAGTGGGTAGGGGCTCTACGTGGTACATATAATTCCCGGAAAATTTACAAAAATAAAAGATCAGGTATGTTTGATGTGTTGAATTAATACTTTTTTTAAAGAATTTCTAAGCCTTTCTACCGCGGAAAAAAATTGTATTCTTTACAAAACAGAAGTTCTTTAAAAAGTATTAGTAAATTTTGTGGGATATATTAAGGCTTGCTTAGAGATGTTTACAATCCTTAAATGTATGTCGGGTTAATTTTTAAAAATAGTTTAAAATTAAATAGAACTAAATCCATACATTTGCAAATAAAGGGAAAGCACAATAAAATTAATTATTTAGGTATTCCAATTTGATACTAGTAGAATTGGTGCTCCACTTGTCAAAAATACTCAAAAGGCCGCTCCTCTATACGACGCCGGAAGTTCGTAAATTCTCCAATAAAATGTTATCTCTTCTATTTTTCTTCTTCTTGCGGATTTTCGACTAAGGAAACATCTGTCCCTTTTCAAACTTTCTCCCAAGCCTACAAAATAGCTTTTATGAGTCCCACGCGCGGGTCGGAGGAGGCTCGTCTTTTGAACTCGTGTGAATCTTTTCCTACACTGTTTGTCAGCAACTTTATGGTAAATTTAAGTAAACAACCACAAGTGAAGAGAATTCATCGAACCCTATTGAGCAAAACTCGACGACTATTTTTTGCAACACATTACTTTGTCCAAATCTCTGATAAATCGTTGAATTTCTGTTAGTGTTGAGCCGAGTTAAGATCGTATTTATTTTTAATGATTTGCAATGAAAGTCTTTAAATTTTTAGTCACATGTAATTCGTGTAAATTTATTCAGTTCTTGTTGATTGAACTAGAAATCTCATATACCCGCGTAGTGGCAAAAAGAGCAGTCGCGTATCGCGTACGAGCGCAAGTTCAGCTGAACCCCATCGGAGGCCAAAAGGCTTCCTCGGGCCCTCGACCCACTCCTTCCACATATATATACGTCCTGCGATGCGTATACGGGTTACATATACATACAGAGCCTGATGCGGGAGCATATCGCAGGACAGAGAGAGAGAGAGAGAACTCCCATGGCGTGGGAGATGAAAAGAAGGGGAGTTGGGATGCTGGGCGACCAAAGTGTCGTGAGTGGCGGGGGGTGGGCTTTTTATCTTGCCTGCTCCATTTTCCGTTTCATCCGGCTGGTGCTCCGTGGCCCAATTTCTGGCCTCCCGTTTTGTCCAGCGCCTCGGCGCCAGTCGAGTCATCATCCGACAGTCGTGTTGATATAATTATATATATATATACCTATATGCCTTGTGCGTAAAAACTATTTTTCTCCCCCATTTTTGGTTATTTCCCTGTATACCAC